AGTGACGTGATTGAAATCGTGCTCGAACTAAGTCATCGTGTTCATTACAAAGTTCAACGAGAAATTCCATTTCTTCTTCATTTGTTTGAGACTGTCTGACGTGCTCGATGATGTAAGACTTTGCCATCCTAAGGAGGGGGGCGCATTACAAGTGAAATCGGTCCACTCCTATTTCGGAGAAAAAACTACAGCATGTTGTACAGAATTTTACGGCGAATCTTGTGGCCGCATGTTTTTTTTTATTCCATAGGGAATTTTAAGTTTTGTCAGCACACGTATTTTTACTCAATTTTCAAGAGAGCCCCACCTATAGAGCACTGCAGAACATATGCTAATTGGATTGAAAATGATCTCATATGAAAGAGCGCGAAATTCTGCATCTTCCCATGCGAAAATCACTCTGAGTCACGGCTATCATAATGAACTTTGAGCGACCAAATTGTTTTTTTTTCGAAATTTTCCTATGCTGCATCATTTAACGTCCATAGAACACCCAAAAAACAACTTTTTCTATCAGCTCGGACTATGCTAGATCGATGTAATTTTTCAAGCGCTACCCGGTGGTATAGGTTTAATCGTGAAATTTCATTGGCCAAAAAATTCCAAAAGACCAATACTTTGCAAAACCCTAGAATTTTCGGATTTTGGACTTTGTCCCGCAAAGAAGACATGGACAAAACATGGTTACAATGAACTGTGTTACACTCAAATCGATGTAGTTTTTCAAGCTCTACACGATCGTTTAGTTACGACCTGTATATGATCGTGTTTTTGAATTACGTTGCCGGTATTATATGGTATTATCTTTAGGAGACCTTCGTGGAAAATGCTAGTTGATGCTGCTTATGGAGAAAGCTTGATTTAAATCGCAGTTGTGTAATGTGACACAGCTTTGGATATTCCTTTGCTGCTTGTAGATATGCAGGAGTTTCCCATGCTGATGCGGTTATTTAGACACGAGTATATTCATATGTTTAGGTAGTCATAGTTACAATAATATTGTTTTCCATGTTATTGATGGTGTAAATCGAGGAAAAAGTAAAAGATTTTTGACATTTCGTTAGAAAGATGTGTATTTAGGAAAGTAAAAGGAACAATAGTGAGTGGATGAAAACGAAATATGGTATTGTTCAATCGTCGCCACTCAGGTTAGTGGTTGAATTGTAAGGTTCTTCGTCTGTTGAATCAATATCAGAGTACTGGACGTAGTCTTGAATACTTTGTAGATAAATACTCGCGGAAAGTTGATGTTCAGTAGATTGTACTTCACCTCGGCAGACCCCCAAATGCCAAATCAATGCCGTAATGTGTGAACAGCAGCCGATTGCCCGTGCACCAGCTGCGCAAGTACAAAACCACCCATTTACAGACTCATCTTGATCTTCGTTGTTGAACTGGACAGTTGCGACAGACAACGTCTGATATTGAAATTGTTTTGATCGATCGAGCTGATAAGAACAGACGAAATAGGTTATTGGAACATCCATTAGCTAGACCTGCATCAACTGGTTTATCACATCCAACGCAAGTAATTCGTGTCGCCCTTGGCATCTTGAGAAACGTCGTTGTGAAAGAATATAAATGTGAAACCAGCTAACCCGCACACAGTCTATTTATACGCGAGAATATCGCTACCTCGATCAGAGAACGAGATATATCATCACGATATCACATATACCAGACATATAAAATACCTCGACGAATGATGTACGCAATTGTACTGATTCAGTGCATAATCAGTAATGCATCCAGGTCTGTGATAACTATATAAAAATGCACTTGTGACAGCTATCACAACAGTACTACGAATGAAAACACTTCTGCGAACCAACGCAGACAAATTCCAATTTAAAATCAGCCCAATCATAATGATGGTTCAATTATCACTTCCTACAGAGTTCCTTCTTGATCATTTACCAAGAAATCATCATATCAAGAAGTGCATATGACACATTCGCATGAAAAAAAAACACTAAGACATGGGGCCAATGAACCAGCACTATTTCTGAAACCCCATAAAACATCTTCACACCTCCCAAGTTCCAATTATATAGTTAATCAGAACCAGAGACCACTAAATATCGACTTCGTCGTAGTACTTAGTTCATCTAATCAAACATTCATTCCGTACCTAGGCATATATCCCTTCAGTGGCTGCTTACCACCATACTGGAATACCCAGCTGCACCGTCGTGTAGAGCTTGAAAAACTACATCGATTTCAGTGTAACACAGTTCATTGTAACCATGTTTTGTCCATGTCTTCTTTGCGAGACAAAGTCCAAAAACTAAAAGTGATTAGTCTGATGTTACCAAATGTAAGATCACGAATGTTTTCTTCGGTCAGTGGTGGAAATTGAAAATTGGCAGCGTTGTGCTTTGACCAATGTAGTGATGTTGTACCAGTGTGTTTCGCAAGCCTTTCCTGTAACCGATTTTCAGTTGTTAGCATTTCGTGCATCTTCATTGCAATTTCTCTGCCATTCTCAATGTCTTTCACAGCTGGGCATTGGCACTTGTTAATAAGCGCACAAATAATATCTAAATAGTCACTGATAAACCGTATGGTCGAGTTTTGAATGATTTGAGCCATGAATTTCCACTGTTTTATCTTTCCATTTACTAAATTATGAAAACATCGATAAAATAATAGTATTTATGGACTGCTGTTCCACTGTAAATTGTGTAGTTTAAATCTTACCGCTTTCAATAACCCATCGGTTCTTCGTAACGAATCGAGTTCGATTAGCTTCATCAGCAGGGAGCTGCTTTTTATTGTGTAGAAAACCAGGCATAGCAACTTGAAGACCAAGTCGATTTAGTGTGTTAACAGTATTACGAAACTGTAATATTACAAACAATTATCAACAACCCTATAAGTTCGACTCCTACCCCACGATCTAATACCAGTACGTCGTTATCGCGAAGCCAAGACAACACCTCTTGTTCATTGTTAAGCATACAGTGTTTCAGAATAGCTGCATCGTTGTTTAATGAATCCGTAAAAAACGGCCCTAAGGAACTGATGATATAACCATCCTATAAGATAAGAATTTACTCCGTGAAATATGGATATCTTTGTTCAAAGCAATCGAAAATTGACTCTTCCCAAAGGACTTTATTCTCGCTTCTTATTTATTAGTAAAAATCTTCTGATGAAATTCTGAACTTTCCCAGATACTTACACTAGCAGTGATAATCATAGGCTTCCCAAGATGCCGGTGTTTGTGCTGACTGTATGTGCGCCGTTGAAAATCATTATTTGATGATTTTTGACAGAAAAAGTAAGTTCCATCTGCAATAAGAACAACTTGGTCTCGACCATTGGTAAGAAGTTCTGTTGCCACCGTCGTTTGATGTTGAGCAAGAATGGCCTCTCTTGATACGTGTTGACAACCAACGTGATAGGGTACGAAATTCTGCATGAGGGCTACTCGTACTTGATGACAAATGCGAGAGACACTTCGTTTGGATGCTAACCGAAATACGCAAGCAAGAACTCGGTTGCTAAGGGCAAGTCGTTTTTTGTGCAAGAAATATTGTTAATGCCACTCGTACAGAGCGAAGACGAGAATTGCGCATAGTAGTTAACTTATCCAACAAATCATTAAAGTGATCTAAAGTTCCAAATAGACAAATAGAGAAGCTTATTCAAAACAATTAAATAAAGTACCTCGATCAAGTCCAGTAATGGTTGTATAAGTTTCATTTTCAAGAGCTCCTGGGTCATCGAAATCAAGTGAACCAGCATGCTTGAGAGCCAAACGAAAATTAGCAATCAGTTTCTCTACATTATGTTTATTCAGAATAATATCATCAACTTTGGATTGTTTCACTGATTGTCGGGCTTCATATGACAGATGTCCTTTGTAGAGATGGTTGGAGCAACAACGTGCACCTTTTGGTACCCAAATGCTCCTACTAAGGAAAATCATTGTCCGTTGTTCATCAGATAGCACCCGCATAGATGTTGAATCAGCTACTGGACAAACTATGCAAGACCTAATTAAAAAGGGAAAAATAATTAGAGTGGTACATTAGTGGTAAACCATTATACCCATGTGATTTCGATGTACGTCATATTGACAACGTCACTGATTTCATTTCTTTCTCTTCTTGGCTTTCTTCTTTCTCACTTTCTATGTCATCGTTCTCCGTCACGATATCAGTATCGACTTCCATTAGCTTATAGAAAAAACATAGATCCAGGAATAAGATCAAGTTGAGAAACTTACCATAGACTCTTCATTTTCTTGAGAATTCGTTTTATTTACTGGTACATCAAGGTGATCGAAATCATTTTGCATTGCTTTTCGCCATCGAGTATACCGTCTTCGACAAGCCCCGCAAATAGAGTCATCAGGATTGACTCGTCTTCCAGAGTTCGCAGCCAGGAAGACTCGCAATAGCAGGGACCCACCTGCCCAATACTTGCGATCACCATGATTGATTTGTCCCTCGCACCAGAAACATCAATAACGCTCTTCACAAGGCATTGCACAAGAATGAAGATGAATGTATAAATGAAATATACAAATGTACCAGTGTATTTCGATTTACTTCTGATGTGCGCATCGTTCACCGCGTGATCACCACTGATTATAACTGAATGGTCAGTCACGACCCTAGAGGTGAGCGCATGGGTGACAGTGTGGAATCTACACTGTGGATGACTGCGTGGACGGTAAGATGGATAAAAGCTTGGGTGTACACATGATTAACAAAAAAACTAAGAATATGAATATGCACGAAATGCACTCCATCTATGTCTTAGACAGATCGTTTAAGGACGAAAAACTTTCAAAATGTAACTCCTTGTCTTGCAACGAGCGAGTTTGAATCTACCTGTAACACCGTAGGACCTTCAGATAGACCGCAACGTCGCTTAGAAGAGCTTAAACAGAACATTGCCAATTTTGCAGCTATATTCCACCCGCTATGAGTTATCAACCAACGAAACTAATGTGAAGCGACCAGTCTGAATACTTTGCTAAAGTAAGCTGCAGTTCCTACAATGTCTAATATTTTCGGGTCATATCCCAAACCTTTCATTCCTTCCATTTTGGCAAGCACATATATAGAACGATGCAAATTGTTCCGCCAAAGCAACGTATGTCGTGAACATATACCCCAAAGATAACATCCATCATAAAACAGTTCTACACAGGCCACATTGATAAGCTGCCAGCCATTGTTAAAATAGTCTGGAAAGCTTGGCCCAGGAAATGCGTATGCATTTTTTGCACTATTGCCTCCACAAGTCAGCCATTACCTTCGCTTCTTCGATCTTCAAATAGTACCATTTTGTAGAGCTTTTCAAGTTCTATTGATCGAGGTATAAACCATCTTGAAGCAAGGAACTTATCTTATGCGAGTATACTGCAAGAGAATCCAGGAACTTTCCTGGATTTTCTACAATATTGTCCTTGTAGTCGTCCAGTGGCCGTCGTTCTTTTGACTTGGAAATAGTACCATTTTGTAGAGCTTTTCAAGCTCTATCGATTAAGATAGTTTTTCAAGTTTTAGGAAAATGTTTTTCTTAGCGATAGTAGGCAATTTCATTTTAGATATCTATATAAGTGCCCTATTAAGTCACGCTGTATATTTGATCTATGGAATGTTTATAAAGCCCTTTATTTTCTAAGTAGAAATAATCAGCGTATTTGTTTTGGTAGTTCCGTAACATTTTTTCAATATCTTCAAAAACAAAAATAAAATGGGCGGATTTGGCTTCTTATGCGCCCCCTTCCTTTAAATAACCCGATGATGAACAAACTAGACGATCTTATTGAAAAAATTAAGGAAGTTAAAGAACATTTAGCAACTTTAGCTACAAATAATGAAAAATTTGAACGGTTCATGCAAGATAAAATTCAACATGATGAACTTACTAAACAACAAATTGATTCACTTTTAAATAATGATAACGCTTTCAAAAAAGATTTAGTTCATCACAGTTTACTAATCGAAAGACATGAAAATATGTTTATCAAATTATTAATACCGATGTTCGAAGATCTATTTACACTGATAGCTGGTCAAAATCAAGACAAAAGAGGTAATACACTCGACGCTGATTTAAAGTGTAGATTGGACCGATACCTTATACAAATGAAAAAAACAAGAGAAGACAAAAGTTACTTAAACTAATGACTCTGTCGCCTTATGCATTTCCTTTTTTTTCTTGTACCAATTCTCTAAAGCTGTGTATTAGAAATCTGTTTTTATCTAGAGCTCAAGTGAGTCTTTCTCACTTCGATTATACTCTCTTTTCCAGTATTCTTGAAGAGTGGGAGAGTTGTTCTTTTTTGTCTTCATGTTTTTCTATTTGGCAGAAGTACGTTCATATCGAAAACATTTCTTCTCTTTATTCTCTTCATGTTCTTTCATTCAACGTACGTGGATTTGATCTTAGATAGCAAGAAGTCCTCCTTCTAACCACTTCTTTTAAGTTTGATCTTCTCATTCTGTTGGAAACAGGTATGATGGATATCTCTCTTTGTGAAAAAACTTTTTCTAACTACAAGTTCTTCTATCAAAAAGGCGAAAATCGTAACGAGGGTGTTCTTGTTCTCGTTAAACACGGAAGTCACGTCAACAGAGTCGACTGTAAGCTGCCAAATATCTGCGCCATTGATATTAAGGCAGAAGATGAACTACGTATTCTAGGTATATATGCGTTCGATAGTAGATCTTGGTCATGGGATAATATTTCCCCACTTATCTCAAACAGATGTGTTGTATATGGAGATTTTCATGTGGATCTAGAGCATGATACTAATAAAGCAGAAATTCTATTAAACTGGGCTGACGAAAATTCTTTAGCCCCATATACACCCAATCTACCAACTTCTCTTCGTTCGAATAGAATTATTGATTATGCATTTGCTAGGGGTATAAATTTAGACATTCAAACACATGCAAGTAACACAACGAGTGACCACTTTCCTATTCTCTCAGTTATTTCTACGAATATAAAAAAAAATGTATTAGGAACAATTGTACACTGGAAAGTATTTGCGCTGTTCTCTGAATATGCATACGCGTTCTGGGAAAAAAGATGGAATGTAAGGAATATGGACGTAACCTATGATGAGTATATTAAATTTTTATCACTGCTCACAGCTCGTTGTACAATCACTTTTCCGTTAGATAGGTATCGCGTAGCGATACCAACAGAGCTTAGATCTTTCATGTCGTATGTAAGAGCGTTATCTTTTCGAGCATTAAGAACAAAAAGTTCAGAATTAAAAGTGGAAATGCGTTGCTTAAGGAAAATAGCTAAATTAGAACTGAAATCCTTTCTCTCACGACAACTTTCATTAGCGCTTCGCCTCCGTAACACATCCTCACCAATCTCGGTATCCTTCTGGTCGAGAACCAAACGTTTTCTTAAGCCTTCTTCCTCTACGATTCATGTATTTGTCGACTCAGCAGAACAAATTATAAGGGAGCCGGATAAAATGTGTGAACTAGCTGCAGATTTCTACGAAGATTTCTTTAAAAAACAGGAAGTAGTAAGACCACATCCTTATACAGACTCACCATTGATTGAATTCGATAACAAAGATGAAAATATTCCGGAAGTAACCTTAAACGAATTAGTTGAAACCATTCATGCTAAACGAAAACAAAAATCTCTTGATGCCCATGGTATCTCAAACTTCATGTTCAACTTTCTAGCACCATCGGATTGGTTTCTTCTCCTACAACTCTACAACCAGTCTTTTCAAAAAGCTACACTACCAGTTGCCTGGAAGGACACGCGCATGATTCTTTTAGCTAAAAAGAAATCTATTTGCTCTCCTGCTGAAACTCGTCCTATCTCACTTTTGGATATATTCCAAAAAGTAGGAGAGAAACTTTTCCTCACGCGCTTCCAAGATGTGTTAGACAGAAGAGGTATTCTTCCTGATACTCAATCAGGCTTTAGAGATAAGGTCAGACTACAAACGCGTCTACTGTTGTTTTTAGAGGACGTACATAGCTTAATGTCGAATAGTGCACCGATCAGTACAATTTTCGTAGATTTCAGGTCTGCGTTCGACCAGCTTTGGCACATAGGTTGTATAGGAACGCTTCGTAGATTAGGCATTCCACACTCCTACCTATCTTGGATAGAAGCTTGGCTGATAAATAGACGAGGACACATTGAAATCAATGGTAAAAAGTCGTGGTGGTTTCCAATCGAAAAAGGAGGTCCCCAAGGGGGTATCCTAACAACATCCTTGTTTATTACCTACCACAGTGATATGGGACAATTTCTACCTTGGTGTACGAGTCACGTTTTCGCCGATGACCTAGCGGCGGTTGTCGCTGGTCAGTTAGGAAAACACTACATGGATCAATGTCTTGACTTAGAAATGAGAATTAAATTGCTTCTTGGTCAGCTCGAATATTATTCTCTTCTTGCTGTCCAACCGATTAACTTTGCTAAGACAGAGGCGTTATATAGCGCACGTGCTATTGGTTCACCGAAATTCGACATTTTCTTTGACGAGATGAAAGAAAAAAAAATAAATTGGGTTAGGGAGTTCAAATACTTGGGGTACTGGATTACCCCTAAACTAGGCTGGAGCAACATGTTAAATAAAACCATGATTAAAGTTCGACAACGTATCTCGTTGATTAAGTCATTTAAGCATTCAGGGTGTACTTCACCCCAACTTAGGCGCGCTTTGTTCTCATCGTATATTTTACCCCTGTTCACATGGATCTACCCCCTGTTTCCTATCCTTACCGAGAAGCAAAGACAAGATCTGTCTCACTTCTACTTTTCAAGCCTTCGAAGAGTTATGTTCTCCTCGCACTGGAATGATCACTTCTTTTCATACGCTCTTGATGAAATTTCATTAGAAGACAGATGTGCGTCTTATTGGGAGAAGTACTTGGTAGCTTTAGCCGATTCTGTTGATGGTGAACTTCTACTAGAAAAAGCAAATCTGAACGTTCTCAGGACGGCGTGGACTCACGGTGAATTTCCCATCAAAGGTCTAAGACGTTCGAAGAGATTCATCGAATGCACTTCGATTCTGGAGAAAGCAGTATCATGGTTGGCAACAGTCCCCTGCTCGTCCTCTATCCCTTTCTATGACATTGATGAGGTACATCTCCTGCAAGAGCACCCCGAAACATTTTTATTTATGAGTCCAAGTCCAAGCACATAAATGTTCTATGAACTCGGCGTAATCGTCTTAATGGGCAATCTTAAATTGTGCAAAAAAATCTTTCTATTCTTGCCATATGAATTCCACGTACGTTAATGAAATCAATTTACCCACTGTCTGTTCTCTCCTGGATCTACTTCTTTCGCCCGCGTGATATGGTATGGTCGTGGTCTTCTTCTCTTCGTTACGTTACTAAATATTTTCATATTGTTATTGTTCTTTATTTTTCTCTTTCTCTTTTTCTTTTTCTTTTTCTGTTCTTTTTCCTTTTCACTGTTTCATCTTCTCCTCATTAACATTGTACTGCAAGGATCAATTCGATCACAGTGTCAGCAAAATATTAAAAAAAAGATGAAATTTATTTGTATTTTTAATAGTCTTCAAAATGAAATTTTCTCGCATGAAATAATCGACCTTTTTTCGTCAAATATAAAAGTATAGCTATTTGATTATTTATATTGTCACGATGAGGAGGTATTATTCTAAATACGTTTACCTTCTCCAACGCTAAATACGAAAGGGAATTTAGAGGTGTCCGAGAAAAAAAAACAACAATCAATTATTCCGTCAGTTTCAATGTTGTTCACTTCTGATTCGTATGTAAATACTTCTTTTTTTATTCCTTTTCAAGAGAACAATAAAGTTGATATGATGAAATCCGAAATGTTTAGGTAGACGCTTTTATTCGATTGATGGAAAACAAAATTGAAACGAATACAAATAGAAAACAGAAATATTGTAAATGGATCGTACATACACCATTCGAATTTGATTATTAGATGTTTGTTGATCAAGAGATATGGTCAAACGTACAGAAAAATGAATTCATAGTGTCGTCAAACCATTTCTATTCAAAAAAAATACTTAGTTTTCTTTTACAGATATAATGTCTGATCGAGGTTTCACGAGAAGATTTATTTAAGGATTATGAGTAATATCTTTTATTGAATTACAATGTGAATACATTAGATGAATTGTTACTTTACGAGTACCATACATTTATTCATTCTATTCCAATCTGTGAGTCTAGAAATGACTGTCGAAAATCAAGAACGATGATCATGGAAAGATCTATCTTGAAAATATGAAATAATTCAGGGTTAAAATCTGAAAGTTACATTTTGTTCGATCATCTTTTTTTTTTATTAAATAACACCAATTATTTGAGCAACTTGAATTACAGATGATAAATTGTAATACTTGTTCAGTCTACAAGTGAAATAATACTATTGAGACAATATTCTTAGTCTAAATAAAAAAGATGATAAAAATCTCATCTATTATCGAAGGAATAATTCATTTTATTATTGTTGGAAACAATTACGAGTTTTATTTCTTTTCACATACATAGATGAATACATTTAGTATAATAATAATAATAATAATAATATCTCCCATAGGCTTATTGCCCGTTGGGGCCGGCGCTAAAGGGTCCACAAGCAGCCAGGTTCTATCGTTTTTTCTCTTTTACAGACGACGGTATCTGCACCCCATTCGTCCAACGCTTCCTCCGTTAATGATTATGGGTTGGCGATCATCATAGGATCACGTGGCCGTGACATCTATGTTGAAGTTATTGTTTTGACTCTGCATACTGACTAATGATAAAATCGATACGCTATCGGATGAGTCATCCGGAACAATTAGCCGTTAGTAACTTGTTCAGGGTTATTCCATGATTGATGAAACTGTGGCTTGAACACAGTACCTTGTGAATATGTGTCGAATAACATATCCACTCAACCATGGCGGCTATTTAGTATAATAGGAAACAATAACATCAAAATAACTATGGCAATGTATTTATTAATTTTGGAATCTCATTGTTTGCTAAGCTTCTAATTAATTTTATTTCGTTTTCGAAACTGATGGTACACTCCTCTTGTGTTATGTTAATATTGTTTACTGTTAAGAGGACACACATATCGAAAGCAACAATTATCTAAACAAAACAAAAATGACGATACTGTAAAATGTGAGGATCGCAATAGTTTTATGTCAATTCTTTGAGCGAATGAAGTGTATATGCCAATTTCTTACTTGGAAAATATGGTGATATTATTGATTTGTTGAATCAGTAAGATTAGGATAGTTGACTGTAAGAAAAATACATTTCATAGAAATTGATTCAAGAATAAGAGAGTTGACATTGTTATTAACGAATTCGTAGCAACATATATCAATACAAAATCGATCTAGTACTGAATCAGAAATTGAAGAAATCTCATTAGTTATTGACGTTCTTGTGCTACAATAATAATTATTTCATTAGGTAGATCAACAAGATGAATGGTTCTTTGTTTATAATTACTCCTCTCACTGGAGGAAAACAATGTCTAGAATCGATGATTTAAGTCGCTGGGGGGATAAATTTTGAGGGTGTGGGTGTGTGGATGTGATTGTATTCTTAACTCAACCACACGCACACACCCTGCAAGTGAATGAAAGCATTATAGACTTTCTTAGGGATACTAAGACCCATATTGCTCAGTCTTATTTGATTACATTGCATGAGAATGATCACATAACAGCAAGTATGTGTCCACTATTGTTGCTAAAAGACCTTCAACGTTTCTGACGGTAACTATTTTGATTAATTTGTTACCAAATAACGACCTATAACGCCGCAAGATGCATTCATTCTATTCATTTGTTTGTGCATGCTTGAAAGAAATACTATTGATTCAACAGTTCATTTGAAGAAAAAAGGAAGTACACTAAAAAAAATGCGCAGAATAATAAACTATTTAAAGGTTTATTTAAATGCAACGTATAAGAAACCCTTCCAAAGGTTTATTCAGATTGTCCTAAACCCTATCAAAAACCCATTCCTAAACGCTATAAAAGGGTTCATAAAAGTTGAAAATCCCAAAACAAAGGGTTTACTAAAGGGTATATGAAAGGGTTGATGATATGCACAAATCGAAAAAGGGATTCTTATACGTTGCATTTTAATAAACCCTTAAAAGCGTTTATGAGAGGGTAGATTCGTCGAAAGAGCTATCATGAAATACGCATTAAG